GAGTTCGTATGATGTTATTACACTTGTGTGCATGTTTGGTTTGGAGCTCGAGGGATCGAGTGAGTTTCAGACGCGTTTTGAATGCGTTTCCATGGTTTGAAGTATGATGGTGCCTTTACGAGTTCTGGTTTTCAGTTGCAGATCTCGCATTTGCGAGGTCTGGCTCGTAATTGCGAGCCTCGCTTTTGCCGACAAAAGTTTGCATTTGCGAGAAGGGCCTGGGATTGGGCAACCTCGCATTTGCGAGGAAAGAGTTCGCATTTGCGAACAGTCCAGGATCGCTTTTGCGAGAATTTCATCGCATTTGTGACGCCTGGCAAAAATAGAACATCTTCGCAATTGCGAAGAATCTTGCCGCATTTGCGAAGGTAGGATATTCGCTTTTGCAATCATTTTTGTCGAATTTGCGACATCTGGATTTCTCATGCAGAGTTCGCATTTGTGGCTTGTGCTTCGCATTTACGATGGTCGCAATTACGAACAAGACATCACAATTGCGACATCTGCAGTTAGGTAAAAGAAAGAAAAATCGAGACTTAGCTCATTTTACACCATTTCTCAACCCTAAACACTCGAGAGGTGATTTTTCAAGAGAATTTTCTTCCCAAAATCATTGGAAGTAACTCTAATCCACTTTCTTTTAATTTCCCATTACTTTTGCTGAGATTTGAACATCAAATCTAGGATTTTCATGGTGAAAATTAGGGATTTGGGTAAAATTTGGGGATTTTGTAAATTTGATATCTAAACCTCATATTGAGGTCGGATTTCGAAACAAATCACATAACCGGGCTCGGGGATGAATGAGTAATTGGGATTTGGTCTGAATTTCGGATTTTGACCAAGCGGACCCGGGGTTGACTTTTGTTGGCTTTTTCAAAAACAATCAAAATTGAACCTTTTTCATTAATTGGTAGTTTCTAAAGCTAATTTTGAATCGTTGGGTCGATAATCTGCTATATTTGGTTGGTTTGGAGGCTTGTTCAAAAGGCAAAGACGTGGTTAAATGATTGTTTGATTCGCAGAGTGAGGTAAGTGTTGTGTCTAACCTTGACTTGAGGGGATTAAAATTTGTTGAATTAATTGTTATGTGAATTATGTGGGAAACAACATATGTGCGAGGTGACGAGTATATATACGCCGTCATGAGACTTAGCATGCGGAATTCAGATATTTATTTCCATGTTTTCATTTATTCCATGGCATCTCTTGTTATATGCTTTAATTGTTACATGCTTTTGTTTGACTTCCATGCTATATTTGTTACTTGTCACTTAACTGTTACTTTACCTTACTTTTTTCATTCCTCACATGATTTCTGCTTATTTGATACATGTTTCTACTTGCTTTAATTGTATATATAAATTGTCACATGTTTTACTTGTTCTTATTTATTTGATGCACCCTAAAGTGTTGTTTCTCCAATTATTATGTGGTTCTCTACTGTCTTGTATATTCACTTCTTTGATATTGATATTTTGTAAATATTGTTGTTGAATTGTTATGTTGATGATTTAAAAATTATTTGTGGAGCGGGTTGCACGCCCTAACGAAATTGAATGGTATTGAGATGAAAGAAGGAATAAGGACAGATTATGATATGATTAGATGATGATATGGTGGGATCGAGTTACGCACCGCACCAGATTGGATATGTTGTAATTATTTGTAATTGTTAAGTTATCCTCATTATTGTGATATGAGACTTGAGCCTTTGTTATTCTGGGCTCTCTAGTAGTTGACTTTCGGGTCCGCTTATTCGAGTTATTGCTTTATCTCTATCCCCATTTTTTGTTGTTATTACCTCGTACAAGTTATTTGTGAGTGGCTTGCCATAGCCTCGTTACTACTTCGTTGAGGTTAGGCTCGATACTTACAGGGTACATGTGGTCGGTTGTACTCATATTACAGTTATGTACTTCTTGTGCAATACCGGAGTTGATCCTAGCGGCCCGTAGCGAGACTGCTCGGATTCAGCTATTTGTGGAGACTTTAGGTATAACTGCATGGTGTCCGCAGCCCTGAAGCCCCCTTTCGTTCCATAATTACTGTTTATTTAGCTTCAAAACAGTTCTATTTTATTCAGACTTTATCTGTAACACTCTAGATGCTCATGTGTTCGTGACTCCAAATTCTAAGATATATTTTGATTACGGTGTTCCGTATTATATCACTCTATTTTAGACTTTTACGGTTATTGTTGTTGACATTTTGATTTTAATTATTAAAAATGGTTGAGTAATTTAGTTAATGTTGGCTTGCCTTGCAATTAAAATGTTAGGTGCCCTCACGGTCTCGAGTGTGGGATTTCGGGTCGTGACAAGTTGGTATCAGAGCACTAGATTGCCTAGGTCTCACGAGTCATGAGCAAGCTTAGTAGAGTCTGAAGGATAAGTATGGAGACGTATGTACTTATCTTATAGAGGCTATAGGGCTTTAGGAAACTTTCACTTATTCTTTCTCTATCGTGCGACTTATTCTATTAGTGAAGTTTTAACTGTTCTATTCTTGTTCTCTCGTAGATGGCGAGAAGAAGCATAGCATCTACAATCGGGCAGGAGCCAGAGCCCCCATCCACTACCAAGGGTAGGGGCCGAGGCAGAGCTTAGCCTAGGGCATGTGCAACAGCACCCGTTGTAGAGCCTCAGACCGAGCACGAGGAAGGGATCCCAGTTCAGACCGCACCAGTCGTACCCGCTCAGGTCCCGGAGGGATTCATTGCTACTCTCGTACTTCAGGATGCTCTAGTCCGCTTAGTTGGACTCATGGAGAGTATGGCTCAGGCTGGAGTATTTCATATGGCACCAGCTGTCTCTCAGGATGGGGGAGAAGCATAGACTCCTGCCACTCACACCTCGGAGCAGATAGCTCCCATATATCACACTCCAGCAGTTGGGTAGTTTAGCCTGTTATTGTTACACATCTTGAGGAGAGGCCCGCGATGTCTTCTGAGGGATTGATGAGGTTGAATAAGTTCACCGAGCTCTTTCCTGTTCACTTTGGTGGTGCAATTTCTGAGGACCCCCAAGACTATTTGGACCGTTGCCACGAGGTGTTTCGCAACATGGGTATTGTGGAGTCCATTAGAGTCGAATTTGAAGTGTTCCAGATTACCGGTTCTGCCAAGTGGTGGTGACAGGATTATGTGCGAAGGTGACCAGCTGGTTTATCTCCACTTACTTGGGATCAGTTTTCACAACTATTTCTGCATAAGTTCATTCCTTTTACTATGAGAGAGGAGTATCGCAGGCAGTTCGAGCGCCTCCAATAGGGTGGTATGACTGTCACCCAGTAAGAGACCAGATTTGTGGATCTAGCCCGTCATGCAACTATTTTGATTCCTACGGATAGTTAAGGAGGGATAATTTGGAAAATGTAAATTTATTGTAAGGTTATTTTTGTCCTGAATAAATTATTTTTTTGCTTCTGCTTCTGTTTCTTGGAAGAAGCTAGATTGCAGATTCTCCCCAAAAGCGAAAAAACTGCTTCTACTGCTCAAAAGTCCTTTTTTTATTTTGGCCAAATACCTTAAAGTTTTCAAAAAGTACTTTTTTGACCCAAACAAAAAAATACTTTTGGCCTCCGAGAAGCTTGGACAAATAGGCTCTTAATGATGTGAGGCTTTAGAAGAATCTGTATTATATTAAAAGCGCGAAAGCCATTAGCGAAATATCGTTTGCCTTTTTTGCCCTCTAAAAATAGATTTAATATTGGATAAAATTGTAATTTAATTATTTTTCTAATATTTAGAACTTTAATTTAAAACCAACTAAAATGTTACTAATTAAATCTTTCCTTATTTCAATTATATAAAAAATCTTAATATTTAAAACTTTAAAACCATATAGAATTTTTTTCTTCCATGTTAGGTAAAATAAATCTTTTCCTTCCTAGACTTTGTTTTTGATGCTTTCTTTAACGAGAGAGAAGTGACAGGATGCCTGATCACGCCCATCTATGCCTTATAAAAGCATTAAGCGGCCGCTGTAAATATAATCCGGTCTAAAAGTCCGGAGTCGAATCTCACAGAGAACTAAGATTTTACTACAACTGTTTACTATCACCAAGAAGACAAGCTCGAACAATTCCTACGTTATAAATATTAAGATTTTTATATCTAATTAACTAACAAATTAAAGGAGTAGATTAACAACTAAAGATACTAAGGGTTGGAGAAAAGATTAAGGAGAGGTATAGAGTTATAATTTTTTCAATTGTCGGAGTCCTTCCCCCTACGTTTTCTATAATGTCGCCTAAGTTTTCTCTACCGATCGTGAGTACTTTGGCTGTCGTAGCTCTCTTTCGAGCAACTACCATAATTTACTAGACGTATACTCTCGAACTACGCTACCTGACACTAATTCACCGCTCATTACGATCACACCAAGGTTTCGTTATCTCTAATCCCGTCTTTAAACCCTCTGTATTGATCTCTCACATACGTTAGGACACTACAAAAAAAACAGCGTTTAGCGACGGATGTATTCCGTCGCTATACATGTTATTTTCGTTGCTAAAAGAGTTTAGCGTCGAATTCGCGATGGATTCAAGTTGGTCGCTAAAATGCTCGTAGCTAAGCTCATAGCGACGAAGAATGCAAAACCGTCGCAAACCTAGCGATGGATTAGCGATGCAATATATCCGTAGCCAAGTTTAGCGACCGAAATATTTGTCGTTATTTTGCTTTGTGTCGTCGCTATTTTGACTAATTTTGTCGCTACACTTCATAACAAAATTCGTCATTTGTTCTTATTAGCAATGAAATAATCCGTCGCTAGTTCTTACTGGTTTCAGCGATAAAAATCTTTTCTCGCCAATCCGTCGCAATATTTATTTAATGAGTTAATTTTAGCTTCGAAAAATATGTCGCTGATTTTTTAAATTTTTTATTTATTTATTTATTATTTTAAGTGTATCATGTTCGAGCACATTACATAAATGCTATTAAATACACTTAATTAAAAGTGACTGATATTAATATAAATAAATATTCAACAAGGTCCAAAATATATAGCATAATGCATATAATTGTATCGTTAAGTACAAAACATCCACAAGCACCAACAATAAAGTTTAAACAAAATAGGCTAACTATGTGAGGCCGGAGAGTCATGGTCATCGTCAGAACCCAATGCATGAACCTCATCAATGCTAGCAACAATAGAAGAGGTAGGAACTATAGGTGTCACATCTGATGGGTGGTTGGTAAGATCAATATTTGGCTGATGCGAGGGTAAAGAAACTAATTCGCGTACCCGCTCAATGATTACAGGAACTATATGATCTGTCAGTACAAGAATCAATTGTGTCACTAACTTATCCATATTCCCTATCGGTGTTGATTGAGCATTTGAAGGTGTTGCTGAGGATATTGCATCAGATCCAAAAGAGTCATGAAGATTCGGCCCGTAGTAGCATTTTGCTTGAGATCCAAGACCATATACTCTTCTTTTCTTTTCTCCTCCCGTAACTTCGTAATATGCTTTACACTGATCAATATCAGATTGGCTATGTGTTTGCTGATGTAATATTTCCTGATAGTTTTCCCGTAGAAGAGTTAATAATTAGTGAAATTGAAACATTAAAGAATATTGAGTATTCAATTTACAAAATAAAAAAAAAGATATGAAAGTAAAGTCAATAAAATTATTTAAAAAGTTGACTTACATGTACAATTCGGGATTTCTCACCAACAAATTTTTTTTCATCATTACCATGTGTATGAATGTGCAAATGTATTTCATTTGGTGTTGGATCTCGACGCTTTTTAATAGCGTATATAAAATATATTCAATTCAAAAGATTGGCAAAAAGACGTTTGTATAAAAATAAAATTAAAAAATAACATAGAGAAAAGGAAGCAACTTAAGTAGAACAGAGAAACTAAAAACTAAACAAGTTCCCACCTTCAAAATCTTGTTAGTTTAAGGAAGCACCTAGAAAGAATATTTTAATTTGTTTTTTGAACTTCCATGTAAATTAAAGACTTTTCAAAGCTCATTAGTGACATGGCTAGCTTTTGATTGCAGAGAAGTCTCCAAACTGGTTTTGAAGCTCCCAATCTTAATTTCCACCTCCGAAATCAACTCCAATGTGGGCAAAGTATTTAGAGCAAGACAACTTAAAAGACATATAACTTTTTTCTTTCTACTAGGCGATGATAATAACATTAAATTGACAAAGATAGTAAGGAGAGAAGCTTAAGGTTCTTATTGGCTCAGTTGGATCCAAGAGCAATAAGGTGCCTTATGTTAAAGCACTTCTCAACTTTCTAAATCAGCATTCTAACTTGTCAAATACGATACCATGGACTTCAGCAACCACTCGTGTTGCTGCACTTTATGTTGCTGCTGATACTTATGTCATGAATTTTCAGGTGAGCCTTCACTACTCTAACTTAATTACGGCTCAGTTTCAGGAAATGTAGAATGACGAAGCTTTTTTTAGATATTAATACTAAAGAGTTTAACATGGAAGTTTATGTAACAGTGAAAAGGTGACAAAGTAAGAAATATAGTTTCTTCTTTGGGAAAAAAGTGCAAGTGAACTGGATAGATGAAAAAAAAAATAGAATATAGGTCAAGTAAGTAGACATGGATGGCGCAAAAAAGAATATCATATGATATTATCATCCAAGAAAATAGATCAGCCTAGGTACACTCTTGTAAACAGAAAGCTCAACTTGAGTAAAAACTTGAGTCAAAACATATAATATTAAAGCAGAGTAAAAACTTGAGTCCTAACGTTTCCTCCTATTTAATTTTAAAAGGAATGGACATAGCTTTCTTATTCCTGTTTTCGTAACTTTTTTCTTAAATCCTAACCTAATCATAAAAATGTTGATTGATACCAAAATCCAATGAGGTTACTTGCTACAAATCCTTGCCATAAATGGTCGAAACCAAATATGGTCTCAAGTAGCTTATCTAATCACATCAGACATGAACATCACTATAACAGAACATGAAACAATCCGAATAAGAGCAAAGAGAAATAAACTATAAGGAACTCGCCTTTCTTCACAAAACAATCAGTTATGAAGTTTTTGTTCTTTAGCTGAGTGTTTACATCAGCTAAAAGGAACTCGCCTTTCTTCACACTAGATGAGGTAATAGCCTAAATAGTGAGATAGAACAACAATACATTTATATATGTACCCACTGGAGCAGTATCAAGAAACAATAATCCATGGATAAACAAAGCAATGCAACCAATATATGCATCAGGAAACAGTAAAGCAATTGGGATCTCTAATGTGTTCATAATACATTTAACATGTAAATGACTTGCACTGAAACATTTTAAAATGAGTGTTGTAGCAGGATGTTGAAGACTTGTAGCATAATAGGAAACAAATGAGAGGTTATTAATGCATTCCAAAAATTTCTTTTTTGCGGGACAAATAAATATCAATTTATATAATTTTATGGCCCACGAAAGCAAACTGTAATGATGAAAGAGAATTAATTAATGTCTCTATTTAAATATATGTTGTCACAAGCTTCTCTAATATAACTGGCAGCTAAACTAGCAGTACATGTTGATCCTTCCTTTTGGGAAAGAATTAGAACCTTAGATCATTTTCAAGATTGCATAACTGGAAAATAACAAGAAATCATAAAATAATTGGTCAAACTACAAATAGAAAATGACAATCAAGTAGATCAACTTTTTTACTTTTGAGATTAATAATAGTCAACTAGATGAACTTTAACCATCATTTAATAATAGTACTTATTGTAGAAATACCGTCGAGATAGCTAACGAAGAACTTCAAAGGGCGAATCCGTCTTTCACTTTCACTGAAAAATCCTGAAGGAAATTTCAAAAAAGTTGCATTCAATCTCATCATGTTTATGAGATAAAGCATAATAATTTCAGATACAATATCTAACTTGAAAGAGACTAGAGTAAATGTGTATCAACCAGCCATTGAAGCATGAAAATCATATCAATTTAATCTACAATAATCAGAACAATAAAAAATTATAACAAAAAATAAGTAAACACAAGCCATGAATAGAAGCTCAAATAATAACCCGACAATATAAAGCACCTTTTAACACCCCATTCAATGAAAGACATAAAATTGAAGCAAACTTACAGCACAGGTAGAACCAAATCAAGAAAATAGGAGGAAGTATAAATTCACCTGCTATATATCACATAGCCTAAATCTAACTTAGAATTGAACTAAGATCTAAATTAACAAACAGAATACCAGATCCAGAAGATTAAAGCAGCATTATTACCTTATCCAAAAAAAAAACATCATCGTTAAAAGTAAATAAGTTGCTGTCAAATTCAACAAAATTGCTAGAACCAAAAAGTATTTCAACACAGCCATACAACAACTACAACTCAATTCTAAATAGCTAGGGTCCACTATGTAATCCTCCAAATCAAAAGATTAATAAAGAGAATACTAGATCTAGAGGGTTAAAGCAGTATTCAAAGCAGCCATCAAATTATGTACAAGTGGTAGAACTAAAGTGTATATAAAACCAAAATACAGTGAAAAAAAGTAATCTTGAACTCACCAAAAGACTCATTTGAAGAAACCACTCAAACCCATTTGATGGCATGTTCAAAGAAATCAGGAAAAACTATGAACCAGCAAAATTAGAAAACAAAATATGGATATCTATGTTCCCATTGTATATGAGCCTTAGATTCATGCCCAATTTGTTGTATTGGAAGCAAGAATCTCACACTATTGAAGATAAGAGAAAGTGGGCGAGTTTGATAGATAGAGAGAATATGAGTTCGTAAGCAAATTTGTGCCCTAGATAAACTTTAACTTTAAAAAGACACAGCGACGGAACTAGCTACGGAAATAATCTTGTCGCTAATAATAACTTGGGCAAAATTATTTTTACGAATCTAGCGACGGAATTTTCGTCGCAATTAAATTTGGAATGTTTTGATAAGTAAAATAAACGCAGCGACGAAGTTTTTTGTCGTTAAATCCGTCGCTATTTTTTAATAATTTTTGTCGCCCCACTTTCGTCGCTAATTTTGTAGGTAAATAAAGGCGCTAATTTTTAGCGACGGATGTAAATTTTTGTCGCTAATCCATCGCTATATTTGATACTAAATCTTTTGTAGCTTATTTGGCGACAAACAAAAAAATTCATCGCGAATCCGTCGTTATTTAGCTACGGAATATGGCTTGTCGCTAAAATCCGTCCCTAAACGCTGTTTTTTTTGTAGTGGGAGTGATGTTATTCAACAACTACCTAAATATGTACCCTCTCTCAAGCAATACACACTAAATAAGTATGTCAATTGATGGTCATTCAATCAATAATAATAAACATGTAGTTGAACAAGTAGAGAAATCCAAAGGCTAAATTATATTAAATGTAATTAAAAGTCATCCTCCAAGAGGTTCCATCAAACCCTAGATGAGAAACTTTAGCTACTCATAACCATACTAACAATCATGATAATAATTGAAAGTATTAGGATACAGAGTAAGGAAGAACGGAAGAGAAAACTCTTGTGATTCGTTGCTTCCGAGTGTTCTCATAGCCTTTTGTCTCTCCAATAATGTCTCTCCTGTAAGAAATAGGTTTAGAGCCCCTTTTATACATATTGGGGGCATGTAGGGACTAAACTACTAAGTCCTAACCGAATTAGGACGAAATCCGCCCTTAGCCGTCTCACTTGGCGCCTGGCGCTAACCTGGATACCGAAATTTTTTCCACTGCTATGCTATTCTGCCATTGGCATTTTGGTTGGTGCCTGGCGCCAACCTGGGCACCAAAATCATACTCCTTCTAAATTCTTCTATTTTTTACTTTACTTTGCATGCAAGCTTTTCAAATTGACTCCTACACATATAAACACCATTATTAAGCTCGAGTCACAAATATTTATACCAAAGTTTACAAGGTTGAGGTATAATGCAAGACAAATTACATGCAAAAATATAGATTTTTATCCTAATATCACTATCCCACACTTAAGCTCTTGCTCGTCCTTGAGCAACCTAAAACCTCGTTAACCTAATAATGCATGCAAGATATCATACAATGGAGGAACCTTTGAAAATTCAACACACTACACTTATAACCATGGTTGATATCAACAATTAAGCCCTTGCACACGCATTTATACCTTTTCAAACTTTCACATGCCGGAATATTAGTGACCAATTAAAAACACTCAAACAACCTGCCCATAAACACCCAACCTCAAAGACCGACTTGTCTCCAATAAGCACTCTCAACTCGTGCACTCATCCAACAAGAGATATTTAATAACGTCACTTATCTGTCATGGAATCATGTGCCTCACCAAAGAATAAGAGGGTATTTTGTCCACACATTCAAATATGCATTCGAATATAATTTAAGGACATCACATATATGAATAAAGATTCACTCACTCTTACAAAGAAATTCATATGCACTCCGTGGTTGTACCGTAGAGTTGTCATAGTGTATATCTCCATTAATCTAAGCTCGCACAATCTAAGATCAATTAGGTCTTTACTGATTGTAATGTAGGCTAAGGGATGGGTAGAATATATTTTGGGTATAGTGACTAACCCTCCTAAGAACTTTAATACACTACACTTAACTTTCAAATACACACTCTTTATGACCAATTCAAGCAATGCCATGAAACCATATACAACTTGGACCTTATTCTTTAAGCACAACTATGCATTCACTAGCCCGGATCACAATGAATATGAGGTGTATTTTCTATATATATAATTTTCTCTTTTTTCCTTTTGTATTTTCTTTGCTTTTCTTTTTCTTCTCTTTTTTTCTTCAACACTCTCCATAAATTTGGGTTGCCCGGCTAATGATCTTTCAAACATACGTGCACCTTTATGGTTTTTCTATGATTTCACTCAAAAGCTACCCCAACTCTTACCTTACTCTTCTAGCGACTTAAGTGCTTTCAGAGGTAAAGGTTCAAAAAGATTTAATTAAGAGCAAAATGGGAATCGGCTTGTAATGTGGGTGCCAAAGAAAAGGCTTATAGGCTCAAATGGTCTATCTATGGATAATCTTATATATTGTGGCATAATAGCTCAATGGACAATCAAAGAAATGCCTACATCATCTCCTTGACTCACAAATCTTACTTATTTCACTTCGACTAACACACAAGGCAAGTTCTAGACAAACACAAGATAGTATAAAATGTAATCAAAACCTCACATCACACAATGCACATGACCCCAGTCGGGACAATTCCATTCCAACTCTCAAGTTTAGGCTAGTAATAAAAAAGTCACAAAGTATTAAGCAATAAAGCACTACATGAACAATGAGTCAAGTAACTGAGAGAAAGCGTCACAAACAAGCTATTCAATCTTTCATGGCATCAATTTTTATTAAAACATGTTAGGAAGGTAATTTTCATGCTAAGGTCTAACTATGCTAGTATCAAACAAGTCAAAAAGCATATAGAATACTCAAGCTTTCTTCCCTCGGTTTCCTAAAAAATAAAAAAAAAATACCCAATTTAAGTTATATTCCTTGGAAAATAACCGATGCCAAAAGAAAAAGCAAGAGGGATTATTATCTACCTACAACTAACTAAAAATAAAGAAAATATTTTTAATTTTTTTATTAGACCTTAATTCCTCAAGAAAGTTGTTCAAGAGATCCATCGTCAGGAACAATTCAATTTTTTTTTTAAAGTTAAACTAACGTTACTAAAGTATCATAGAAAATCACCCAAACAATCTCCTCACCCCACACTTAAAATTGTGCATTCTCCCCAATGCACACCATAAATAACAAGAGGGTGAAAGAAACTCCCTGGTAGGCCAAAGGCCGAAGTATTAGCAACGCATGGGATACTCATGCTTCTCCCAAGCCTGGTCCTTCGTACGGATACCTCACACTTAGTTCCAACCATCTGGATTGCTTTTTCTTCCTTCTAATGACTTTCCTTTCTATGCTCCCACAAAATAAAAAACCTATACTACAAAAATAACACAATTAAAAAAAAAGTAAACAAAATAAATAAATAAATAAAAAGTAGTAAATTTGGGTTGCCTCCCAACAAGAGCCTGTTGCGCCCCGTTTTCTCGCGAAAGCGGGTTTCGACGTGTGACAACTCTTTTAAGGAGGTATCAAAAGAGAAGAGTCGTCACCTAACGAATTTAAGGTGCGTTAGGGCACCTATTTGCAAGTAATTCTGTTTTAACTAGTCCGTGTTCACCAAAAATCGGGTAAGGGCTCAAATTATCTCAAAGAGAAAGTATTGGGTACTCTTCGAGGTCCACAACTGTGGGTCCCGGCCGAACCTTAAACTATGTGGATTATGTAATTAAGATAGGTGATCAAATAAACAAAGGGAAACATAAAAGTCGAAGAGTCTTATCATAACATATAAGAATTGGTACAAATCCTTAATGATTATAAAAATACAACTACATTGATCTGTGTTAAATGACTAAGTGTAAATAACAAGTGCATAAAAGA